TGAAGGTGCGCTCGAGCGCGTCGTGGCTTCGCGTGGTCGAGGCGTTGGCGCGCGCGGCCGTCGCCACACGACACACGGCGTAATTTCATAGGCTCTGGCGCCGGTCGGCCACCGATCGGCTTCGATTTAGTTCGTCAGTCGTGACATGCCGAGCCTGACGATGAGTTTTGACATTCATCTAACCGCTAAACCGTTGCTCCAATTCGTAAACGATCTAAATGACTTTCGTAGTCCTAAGTACCAGCTACAAATGTTGTTCAATCATCTTGTGCTAATTCGCAACCGAAACTGAGAAAAGTCATCCCTAAAGTGAGCCTCGTCGATACCGGTCGGTTGTTCATGAGTTAGCGAAATTTGCTAAGTGCTGAAATCAGTGATTTGATGATTTTTGAAATCCAAATTCACACATGTTAGGAGCTGAATAAATCAATGACCCAAAAATAAAAGTTGTTCCTTATGTCAAACACTACAACTTTGATTTAGTGAACTCCTCCATGCAAGGTCTCTAACACATAGTTCAACTTTGGTCAAACATGTCACTTTTGAATGATGAAACACATCAAAACATGGCTTAATGACCAAACTAGCCCTAGCCCTAAATACCAAAGTTGTTCATGATGATACTCTAAGCATGTTTAAGCAATTTGCAAGGTCATTTAAGCATTTCATGTAGTAGTCACTCATAGAGCTATCCAGGTCAACACATGTAATATTACTTACGTGCTTGATCATGAAAGGTGACCTTCATGAACAAGGTTCCTTTTGTTAACCTAAGTGTAGCTAAGGTGTTTTAGTGACTAACATTACCCACTTGCATTCATTTGCACATGATCATATGCATATGTTCCAAGAAACACGAAATAACAAGCAATGTTTCATATGTTTCGATCACATGTTTCAATTGTAAATGATGATTTATGAATGCTTGATGCTCATGCTCATGTTATGCAAGTCAAGTTATGCAAGGCTAACACCCGAGGTGTTACAGTACTACGCCGCACAATCTGGGACACCAGATGCCAGGACGTTCAGGCCTAGCCTGCCCGTGGGCTCAGTCTGATCGCCCCCCGCAAGGAGCGCACAACAAAACGGGTCCCGGCCTGAGTTGAATTACTCGGCTTCGCGGACGGAACGAGTTATCCGGCCAGCTAAGTGATAGGCATGCATTCAATCTTGTTAAAAGCACCAACAATGGTATGGTCCTTAATCGACACAGACGGGGATAGATTCACACCCAAGACCTCCATGTCTTGTTGCTTCTCTATCGACATCCCGCCCGGTCTCCATTTACATTAACCATGGTTCTTTTCCACGATAGCAATTATAATCAACCGTGCTCCGGTATCCACCTATATCTCGCAGGTGACAGGAAATCACCCGACTTCTACCGGTCTAAGCATGGCTAAGCATATGTTCGATCCTGGACCTATATCGGTTAAAGGTGTAATAGCTGGACAAGGAATGTATATGCATCAAGTGGTTTCATTCAACTCTTATAACCTAATGCATCAATCATAAGTACTTAAGTAATCATTTGTAAAATACTGGGAGACTTAGAATGCTCCGGGGCTTGCCTCGCAGAAAGGAAGTAGGGCGATGATCAGGACACTCCAGAAACTCTTCAGGATTATGCTCCACGCCTTCGGGAGCTGCGGCTTGCGGATTCTCCAGCGGGTCCCCTTCCTCTGCTTCTTTGAATTCCAGCAACGTTATTTCTTCCTCCGATCCTAGATGCATGAATATGGCATAAGTATTACGAATGCATATATGTTATCAAGTGCATCATGTTTATTGAGTAGGTGCATATCTCTTCTCGATTATTTAATTACTACTTCCACAATGCATCTACTATATCACAAAACACCAGCTACTTGTTTTACTCATAACAGGAGTTCTACTAATCCAAATGCAGTGATGCTAGACTTTCTGGAAAGCTTATCAAATTATCTACAACTTTGTTATTAACCATGTTTACAGCAAACATCATCTCTATCATGCAACTTAGCAAACTCCAGAATCTGTCTGGAAACTATTCCAATTCGTATTATAAAGTAACAATACTTCTACTTCATATAAGTATTCAAATCTTTATGACCAAAAGTCTACCAGCAGTTTAAGCATACCAAATACATCTAAGAAAACATAATGGTGAAGCCCAAACTATTTATTTAAATGCCTTTATTATTTTATTTGAACCCCTAGGTTAAATAATAAACCTATACCAAATGTGCATCATAAATTCTCAGAAAATTACAGTGGCTTACTAGTGCTAGCAATAGACTACTGTAAAAATTTCATGCCATTTTGCCAAGTAGAACATCCTATACAAAAATGACAAGGCAGCAAGGCTTGAAATAGAATAAATAGAAAACCTTAGTGAAAAGTGTCAAGCAACAGATTTCCTATTTTTCTTAGCATCCTTATGGTACTAGGATAACCTCCAACAAATTTCATGAATATTGGATTCCTAAATAATTTATAAAAATTTACACAAGGATCTCCTAATTATAAAAGAAAAATCTATAACTACCAATCTACACATGCACTCATCTTCACATTTTTACCAGAGCTCATATATGCTAAGACTAGCTTACCACAAAAATTTCATAATTTTTGGAGCACAGGAACTCTAGATATAAAATAAACAAATTTGCATGCATTCAAAAACACATTTCAAATCTCTATTTAAATCTCCAAAAATTTCTACTGCAAAAGTTAAGAACATATTTTTCCTAAATACTACACTTCCTAAGGAACACTAACAAATTTATTTCACAATTTTTGAAGCTACCAAACTGAAGATACAAAAATTACAAAACAACACCAGATCTGTATTTAAATGAACTAGCTTTAAGACAGGGAGTCGCTGACACGCGGGACCCACTGGTCAGTTGACCCCACCGGTCAGCGAAACAAAAACAGAGCCGGCGGCGCTACTCTACAGGCGTGGCTAGAACTCGACGGCGGCGAGTTCACCGGCGGTGACATCTTCACCAGACGTTCTACTCGACGAGGCGCATCGTTTGCACTACTTGCCCGACCCTAACATCAACTCTAGTGACGACGGCGGCGGCCATGGCCGATCGGTGATGCTAGACGACGGCGCTACGCCGGTGATGACCTCGGTGGTTGACCTAAAGCTCGGACGAGCACCAGTGTCCTACGATGAACCTATCGCGCAAGGTTTCACGGTCTACGGTGGAGGGAGGTGCCCCAGCCACGGTGACGAGCGCGGCGGGGATGCTCCGGTGAGCTAGCGCACGGCGCCATTGCTTACCAGGTGCGGTCAGCTAAGCTGGTGGAGGGCGGTGGGTCATTTGGGAGCTAGTGGTGCTGCTGCGGTGACGATTGGGCGGCTCGTCGCGAGCTCGCTGCGACGGCTATGGGTGGACGGTGGTGCTGCTTTCGGTCTTTGCGGGGAGCTCGGCGGCTCTGCTGTGGCGAAGAAGGAGGCCAGGAAAAATGAAATGAGGGCGCTGGGAGTTGCGGGCGAACGTTGGAGTGTTGAAGCCGCGCTCAGGCGCGTCGTGGCCTACGCGGTCAGGGCAACGGCAACGCGCGGCCACCGCGACCTCCACGCGGTGCTCGGTTCCTGCCGGTGTCGGCCACTGAACATTTTGATTCAGTCGATTCAGACAAGGAATGCCGAGCCTGACGACGTGTTTTGACGTTCATCTAACTGCTAATCCATAGCTCTATTGCGTAAACCATCTAAATGGAACTTGTAGACCGATGTACCATCTACAACTTTCGTTCAAGAATCTAGTTCTAATTCGCAACCGAGACGGAGTAAAATCATGCTTAAGGTCAGCTTGTCAGGCTGTCAGTGATCCAGGACTTAGAAAAATTCGTTAAGTGCTTAAAGCTTGATTTTGCTGGTTTTTGTGGGACCCATTCAAGCATGTTAGAAGCTAAATCAGTCCATGACCTAAAAATAAAAGTTGTTCCTTATGTCAAACACTACAACTTTGCTTTAGTGATCTCCATGCAAGGTCTCTAACACCTAGTTCAAATTTGGTCAAACATGTCACTTTTAAATGATGATACACATCAAAGCATGGCTTAATGACCTAATTACCCCTAACCATGAACATCAAAGTTGTTCATAGTGATACTCTAGACATGTTCAAGCAATTTGCAAGGTCATTCAATCATTTCATGTAGTAGTCACTCATAGAGCTAGCTAGTGTAATCACATGGAGCTTAAATGTTGGTTCATGAAATGTAACCATAAATAAGGTCCTATTTGCTACCCTAGGTGTGGCTACATGTTTGTGTGACTCACATCCACCAAGTACATGTGTACACTCATGATCATATGCATAGATACATGGAGACATGAAATAACGAGAAAAGTTGCATATGTTTAAGAACATGCGATAACAAGCAAACGTTGCAGATGTTTCAATGGTAAATGCTTGTTTATGAATGCTTGATGATCATGCTCATGTTATGCAAGTCAAGTTATGCAAGGCTAACACCCGAGGTGTTACAGTCATGTCATGATTCCAAACATTCCGCTAAGTTAGATCTTCCTGCTGAATAAAAACATTAACATTAGCATATGGATTAGCAAATTTAACAACTTAGGCGCACATAGAAAAGATCAACTAAATAATGCAACATACAAGCTAAAATTGATTACACGACATTAAATCATCATCATTTTGTACACAGCTTACAGTTTCAGCTCTGATGAATCCTTTCTGAAAGTCACTATGAATAACTCCAGGTGCTTGTGGTGCAGTCATGCCTATATGTAGAATTGCTTGCATTTATTATGATTATTACAACAACTTCTTCAAATATTACAATAGAATAATTTTGAGGAAAAAGGAAACCTGAAAGAATAGTCCAAGCTTTTGTTTCCTAAAAGGACACAGTTAAAGGTCTGTCAGTTTGTGTTAACAACTGGAAGAAAAACCTTTAACAGCACAAAAGTTGCACCTTGTCTCCGGTTGTGAAATAAGTTCTTAGTCCTAATAGATTATATGTTGCTTTTACCAAATTTCCTCTTCCAAAGGTAGCTCAGCAAGTTCAGCTTCAACCTGTTTATGCATTCCATGATTTTGTTAGCATAGATAGAGCACATATGGATAGGCAACATCAATCAGGCAAAAATATGAAATTGTTTCACAGAAATTTCTTCAAAAGCTTCTTGTAGTTTAGATGCATACAACAAACCTGAGCTGATATTGTAACCATACCAGACTGCAAGTCTGATGCTGCTTTAGCGACCTCTTTGACATGAGGATTGCTATCAGGTTCAGCAAGATCAGATTCTGTTACATTAGCAACATAAATGACAGGTTTCATAGTTAGCAGACAAAGATGTTGTATAGCTTCTTTCTCATGCTCAGCTAAATCAACCGATCTTGCAGGCTTTCCTTCTATCTACAGTTATTACACAACTGTCAGCCGTTGGACAGGATCATATGTAGCAATAGAAGTTTCTTTTGAAATGTGTGATAACAAGACAAATGGAAATTCCTTCACCAAATTACCTGTCCAAGATCCGAAAATATCATCTCTAGGTTAATGACATCGATGTCTGATCTGGGATCGACCTTGCCATTGACATGAACTATATTATCATCCTCAAAGCATTGCACAACCTGAGAATCCAATAAAAACAGATAATTACTTATTCCTAGAACCTCAACAGCTAATATCTTATAAGAGGCTTGTCCTATAATATTTTGCTATCTCCAACAAATAAGAAATGATAATGAAGCACCAGCAGTGAGTTGCAGTGCTGGATAAAGATAACAGAGTGGCCCCAGTTTTACTTCGCATATCACATATCAGTAAAATTGGAGGAAAAAGGGATATCTGATGGAGAATTGTATTAGCCTGTAAAGTATAAAGATGACAGCAGGATGGCGCACAGTAATTGACAGACACTAGAACTTGGCAAATATATGAGAGCTTAAGCATACAAGACGATAGAACAACCTGAAGTATGGAATCCACTTCACGGATGTTTGTGTTGGCCCATAGGATCACTGGCTCACGTGAGTCGACCACTCACCAGTCTTGCCGAGTCCCTGCTAGTGTTGCCGAGCACCCATTAGCCGTGCCAACCACGAAAAAGCGTTGTCCGTCCCCACACACTATGGCTAGAGGTAAAAGAAGAAGGGAGAACAGAGCATACACACACAGCAGAGACACCAGCGTTGGCCGGAGCCCTGTATACGAGATGGCAAATCTGAACTCTCTTTGTTGAGTTACAGTCGCAAACTATATATACAACTCTATCCATCTAGTCCTAGTATAACTGTCATGTTGCAACAGCGACTAGATAACACAGCAGGTGAAAGGTCCTAATGACTAGAGGGGGGTGAATAGCCTATTAAAATTTTCTATAACAACACTTAACAAATCGGTTAGACAATTATGAGGCAAAGCAAGTGTTGCGCTAGCCTACTAAAAAGCAAGCCACCTACCATAATTCTAGTTTCTATAGTCTATATCCACACAATGGCTATATCACTGCACTAAGTTAGTGTGCTCTCAAAAGCTATCTAAAGAGTCACACTAACCAAACTAAGTCAGCTTGATAACTAGTTTGCGGTATTGTAAAGAGAGAGCAAGATAGTTATACCACCGTGCCGAGGAGTGAACCAATCAATCACAAGAATCAATATCAATAAAGACCAATCACCTCGAAATCAAATGATGAACACAATGATTTTTTACCGAGGTTCACTTGCTTGCCGGCAAGCAAGTCCTCGTTGTGGCGATTCACAAACTTGGAGGTTCACACGCCAAACCCTCAATAGGGTGCCGCACAACCAACACAAGATGAGGATCACACAAGTCACGAGCAATCCACTAAAGTACATTTTGGCTCTCCGCCGGGGAAAGGTCAAGAACCCCTCACAATCACCACGATCGGAGCCGGAGACAATCACCAACCTCCACTCGATGATCCTTGCTGCTCCAAGCCATCTAGGTGGCGGCAACCACCAAGAGTAACAAGCGAATCCCACAGCGAAACACGAACACCAAGTGCCTCTAGATGCAAACACTCAAGCAATGCACTTGGATTCACTCTCAATCTCACAAATATGTTTAATCTATGATGGAGATGAGTAGGAGGGCTTTGGCTAAGCTCACAAGGTTGCTATGTCAATGCAAATGGCTAAGAGAGTGAGCTAGAGCCGGCCATGGGGCTTAAATAGAAGCCCCCATGAAATAGAGTCATTGTACTCCTTCACTGGGCACAACTCGAGGTGACCGGACGCTCCGGTCATATTGACCGGACGCTGGACCTCAGCGTCCAGTCGCGCGATGCACGCCACGTGTCCCCTCTCTTCAAATACAGAGCGCCTGATCCCAACGGTCAAGTGATGACCCGACACACTGCTGCGAAGTGACCGGATGCTTGACCTCAGCGTCCGGTCGTTTCCAGTAAGCTTCCAGAAACAAGAATTCACGACCGGACGCGTCCGGTCATGCTCGACCGGACACGCCCAGCGTCCGGTCACTCAACGTCTCATTTGTGCTGCCACGTCAGTGTGACCGGACGCACCCTGTCAGCACTTAGGTTAGCACTTAGGGTTTCATCAATTCACCAAAACCAAACTAGAGCTTTCAATCTCCCCCTTTTTGGTAATTGATGACAAGCCTTACACAAAGATATTGAATTGAAATTTAATCGAATCCATGTTGCTTGTCCAAGCATATTTACTATGTGTAAAAAGATATGGACAAGTTTCATGAACCCCAAATGGTAGCAATTGCTCCCCCTATATATGTGCTAAGAGTTTGGATTGTAGCTTGCACATATGCTTAGATAGGAAATATAGGAGACAATGTCTACCAAATGATGCTAAGGTATAAAAGATGGATCTTTGAAGCGTGATACCAATCGGAGTGCACCATTATACCATCCTTAGCACCATGGTTAGCTTGATACCACTTGGAAACACTTGAAAATGAAATCACTAGATAAACTTATGCATGCTAGATTTCATTTCATCATTCAGACCTACAACTAGCATACACCACACAAGCATGGATGTTGAAATTAAAAACTTGTGCCATGCAAGCAAACATATGAAATGCACATTCAAATGCGCCATACAAGTTTATGAGCTTGCTCCCCCTACTTGTGTGCTCAAAGTTTTAATTGATCCCTTTCCTTTGACATATTTCTCCCCTTATGTCAAATTCTCCCCTTTGTTGTCTTTTCACTATCTTTGTACACTATTTCTCCCCCTTTGTCATCAATGACCACAAAGGCTTAAATGTAGATAGATTGAGATTATCAATGTCAATCAATGGGGTGAGGATCATTTTCCTAAATTTTGGTTCAAACTAGAATACTTGCCAAAGATATTTAACTCGGTTTGATCCAAGGACAAGCTTCTTCACACCTTAAAATGAGGGTTATCTTGTACCATGTTGAGTTAAACACTTAGAGCTCATTTTCTAGATTAAACACTAGGTTTACAAGCCCATAAACATGTCATATGCTACCACTAGATTAAGTCATGCATAAAAGCAAAAGTGGTACCATACAATCATCAAATTTATTTGATTTTCATGAATGAGCCTATTAAATGTGAAAGATGTCTAGATGCACTAAACATGTCCTTAGTAAGGATGTATGCCATGCCAATCAACTTTTACCTTGGATTGCTCGAATGAGAGCCATGTCATATGAGTGGGGGGATACATCAACACATATTTGAGAAATCCAATATGTTCAACTCATTCCTTAGCTTGCAAAACCTTTTCTCATCCAATGGCTTGGTGAATATATCAGCAAGTTGATTTTTGGTGCCCACACTCTCAATGCAAATGTCCCCTTTTTGTTGGTGATCTCTTATGAAATGGTGGCGGACATCAATGTGCTTTGTTCTTGCATGTTGAACCAGATTGTTAGTCAACTTGATTGCACTCACATTGTCACATAGCAATGGCACTTTCTTAAACTTGATTCCAAAGTCACTCAAAGTGGCCTTCATCCAAAGTATTTGTGCACAACAACTACCAGCGGATATGTATTCGTCTTCGGCGGTTGATAATACAACACTATTTTGCTTCTTTGATGACTATGAAACAAGTGATCTTCCCAACAATTGACATGTGCCCGAGGTGCTCTTCCTTTCAACCTTGCATCCCGCATAATCCGAGTTGGAGTAACCAACTAGCTCAAACTTTGCTCCTTTGGGATACCACAAACCAACATTTTGTGTATGCTTCAAGTACCTCAATATTCTCTTGGTAGCCTTCAAATAACTTTCTCTTGGTGAGGCTTAAAATCTTACACACATGCATACACTGAACATGACATCTAGCCTTGATGCGGTCACATAGAGTAGGCTTCCAATCATAGACCGATATAACTTTTGATCCACCATGTTGCCACTTGCATCACTATCCAAGTTGCCATTTGTTCCCATTGGTGTACTAATGGCTTTGCTATCACTCATGCTGAACTTCTTGATCATGTCCTTGATATACTTGCCTTGACTCACAAATGTACCATTCTTCAATTGCTTGATTTGAATACCAAGGAAGTAACTCAACTCTCCAATCATGGACATCTCAAACTCATTCGCCATCATCTTTTCAAACTCATCACAAAAGTCTTGATTGGTTGAACCAAATATGATATCATCTACATAGATTTGCAACACAAACAAGTCTTTGCCAATCTTCTTGATGAAAAGAGTGGTGTCAACCTTGCCCATCATGAACCCTTTAGAGAGTAGGAAGTCCCTCAATCTCTCATACATGCTCTAGGTGCTTGCTTCAAGCCATACAATGCCTTCTTCAACTTGTACACATGGTCGGGCTTCTTGTCATCTTCAAAACTAGGAGGTTGCTCAACATATACTTCTTCATTGATGTAACCATTGAGAAATGCACTCTTAACATCCATTTGATAGAGCTTGATGTTGTGGGCACAAGCATAGGGTAGCAAAATTCTAATTGCTTCCAATCTAGCAACCGGGGCATATGTTTCTCCAAAGTCAAGACCTTCAACTTGTGTATATCCTTGTGCTACCAATCTTGCTTTGTTCCTCACTACTATCCCATCTTGATCTTGCTTGTTTCTAAAGACCCATTTGGTTCCAATCACATTGTGTCCCTTTGGTCTCTCTACCAATTCCCATACTTGATTTCTTGTGTAGTTATTCAATTCTTCATGCGTAGCATTCACCCAATCAACATCCTTCAATGCTTCATCTATCTTCTTTGGTTCAATGGATGACACAAATGAGAAATGCTCACAAAATGAAGCCAATCTTGATCTAGTTTGCACATCTCTTGAAATATCACCAATGATAGTGTTCAATGGATGATCCCTTGAAATATTTGTTGGTTGGAGGATTGGAACTTGATTGCTTGCACTTGCTTGATCATTGGGTTGAGATGATATACTAGCCACTTGATTTTGTTCATTGTTATGAGAGTCACTTGTACTAGCTTGATTTGTATCATCTTGCACATTTGAGTTAGAGAGCACTTGCACTTGATCATCTTCATCATCATTCACTTGCTTAGGCCTCAATTCACCAACATCCATGTTCTTCATGGCATTTGAAAGTTGAATGCCTCTAACATCTTCCAAGTTCTCATTCTCTTCTTGTGAACCCTT